TTGTCCTGTTGAGCAAGCAGTTGATGGGGTAGAATTGCTAGCTGTTTGGTAAGTAGCTGAATACTTAACCACTGGGCCACCAGGGCTCCTCCTGATACTAAATCTTGCTATAAAACTACACGATTTAAGTCCTGTTGTTCAACATAAGCTCCAAGAACATTAGATGCAAGTTATTCTTTCAATAAATTATGCTTGGATATTTAGACATTCGTATACTGAACAGTAGATTTTTAACCTTTGCCTCACACCGTACACACAAATCAATGCAAAATGAACCCTAAATATAAAAGATAAAACTACTAAATTATTAGAAAAAAAATACAAATACGTATACTTGATCTTAAGTTAAACAGTAGATCTTTGGCTATGACACTTCACAAGCAGCAAAAGAAAAAAAAATTAGTTGACCATGAATTATAACAAGTTTAAAACTTGTGCTGCTAACAATATCATGAAAAAAGGGGAAATTACAAACTACAGAATAAGAGAAACTCTTTATGGCTCATGTATCTGATAAGGAAATTGTGTTTAGATTTTGTTAGGTGCCGTTGAAGCAAATGCAACTCGTTGTAGCCATATGAACAATAGATCTAAACTGCATAGAGCACATATCGCTTCTATGCCAGCTTTACACTGTGTCATTCTATCGTGTTGAGGGTCTTCCTTTCTTTTGCTGACCCTCTACCTTTCCAAGCATGATTGATGTCCCTTTTCAAGGAATAGCCTCCTATAACAGCATGCTCAGAGTATATGAGATAAAGGTTTGCCATCCTTGCCCCAAGGAGTGCTCTGGCTGCTCTTTCTCCAAGACATACTTGTTTGTTCTTTTGGCAGTCCATAAATTATTCAGAGCTCTTCTCCAACCCCAAATCTCAAAGGTGTCAATTCTGTTTCTGTTCTCCTTATTCATTGTCCAGCTTTCACATAGCAAGTAATGGGAAGGACCATGGTTTTATTCAAGCGCACCTTAGTCTTCAAACTGACGTCATTGCTCCTCAGTAACTTGGAGAGGTCCCTGAAAGCAGTCTTTCCCAATGTGGCATGTCTCCTGATCTCCTGACTGCTGATACTAAGGATGTTGATTGTGGATCCATGTAAGAAGAAATCATTGACAATTTCAGTATTTTCTTCGTTTATTAGGATGTTGCTTATCAGTCCAGTGGTGAGGGGTTTTGTCTTGTTGGTGCTGAGATGCAGTATATGTTGAAGGCTGTAGAGTCAAAAATATCTATTTTAATTGTGTTCTCTTGTTGTTACGTGCCGTCGAGTCGCAGGTGACTCATAGCGACCCTATGAAGGAGAGTCCTCAATGTTGGGTGTCTCTCATCCTTTCTCCAGGTTCATAGGGTTTCCAGAGGCAAGCTATTGTGGAAGTGGATGCCACTCCTCCTTCCAGTCTTGTTTTAATCGGGGAGCTCCACCCCACTCTGTCTGCATTCGGTAGCCAATCATTAACGCATTTGACACATCAGTGTCACAGTGTTCAGCCTCACAGCAACCACAAGTTACCACTGTAGGGCAACTTGTACACCAGGGCTATATGACCTAGAGGAATGTCTGAACAAAAACAATGAAAGACAGGCCCGAGGGCCGCAGATGAAAAGTCACCCACCTTTGGCTTGGTAGCATCGCCTTCTGTCCAGTGGGCCAGCTGATCTCTCTCCATATTGATGTTATTGTTGTTAAGTGCCGTCAAGTCGCAGGTGACTCATAGCGACCCTATGAAGGAGAGTCCTCAACGCTGGGTGTCAAATTTGTTCTACTTTATGATAAAAATATAACACAATTAACAAAAACTTGGCAAAATATTTGAATAGATTGTTACTAGATATATACAAAGATACGCACTAACAGCTCAGCACAAAAGGAAGAAAGTGAAGATATTTACCAAATTTTGCAGTCTAAAATTAACCAAGCATGAAATAAAAATGTATTCATGATAATTAGTGGCTGGAATGCAAACGCTGGAAACAATGAAGAAGGAATGGTAATTGGAAAGTATGGCCTTGGTGGCATAAACAAGGAAGTGGCAGAAATGGAAATTGATCAAATTTTGTTATGTTCAACAATTTATTCATCACAAATATCTTTAAAACAAAACAAAACAAAACACCAATGGTGACTTTACACATGGACCTCACTTGATAGGCTGTGTAGGAAACAGATTGACCACATCTGTGGAAGCAGTCGTTGGAGAAGCTCAATGTCAGCAGGCCAGATGCTGACAATGAAACAAAGTCTCAATTACTCATGTACAAGTTCAACGTGAAGCTGAAGAAAATTAAAACAAGTCCATGAAAACTAAAATATGATCTTGAGTCTATCCCACTTGAATTTAAAAATTTAAGAATAGATTTGAGCATTGAACACAGATGAGGTGTGGGATGACATCATGGAAGAGAGCAATACATCACTAAAAAGACAGAGGAGAAAGCAAAAATAAAAATGGATGTTACACCAGATCCTAAAAATTGAACTAGAGCATTGAGAATCCATAACAAAGGGAAGAGATGCTAAATTAATAGAGCTGAACAGAAGATTTCAAAACGAAGCTTGGAAAGACAAAGCAAACTACTGTCACAGAATGTACAGAGCTCTGAATTGGAGAATGAAAAGTGAAGAACTCATTCAGCATTTCTCAAGCTGAACACCTGCAGTTCCCTGTCCATGTAATGTCTATGACATGTTTCAGATGACAGATACAGCCCTGGACGTGCTCACCAGTCTATGCCAGCAAATTTGGAGGACAGCTGCCTGGCCTACTGACTGAAAGAAATTCATATTTGTTCCCATTCCCAAGAAAGGTGATCCAACAGAATGTGGAAATTATCAAACATTGTCACTAATACCACATGTAAGCAATCTACTGCTGAAGATCATTTAAAACTATCTAGACCAGTACATAGACAGGGAACTGCTAGACTTTAAAGCTGGAGTTAGAAGAAGACATGGCACAAAGAATGCCATTGCTAATGGCAGGTGGATCCTGGCTGAAAGCAAAGGATACCAGAAGAATGTCTATTTGTGCTTTATGGACTATGCAAAGGCATTTAACTTTGTGGATCATAACAAATTATTCCTGACTTTGAGAAGAATGGGAATCCTAGAATACTTAATTGTGTCTCATGTGAAACCTGTACCTAAAACAATTGTGAACAGAGCAAAGGAACACTGCATGATTTAAAATTAGGAAAGGTGTGCATCAAGGTTGTATGCTCTCTCCATACCTATTTAGTCTGTATGCTGAGAAAATTATTTGAGAAGCTGGAGTGGCACCAGGATCAGAGGAAGACTCATCAATAACTTTCCTTATACAGATGACACAACTTTGCTTGCTGAAAGTGAGGAAGCCTTGAAGCATTTTCTGCAGAAAGTTAAGCATAGCACCTTCAGTATGGATTGCCTCTCAACCTCAAGAAAACAAAAATCCTTGCCACTGGACCAATAGGTTACATCATGATAGATGGAAAAAAGATTGGAATTGTCAATGACTTCATCTTACTTGGATCCACAGTCAATACACTGGCCACTAGCAGTCAGGAGATTAGGAGATATATTGCACCAGAAATGTTTGTAGTCAGAGTTTTCTCCAGATTCTTAAGGAGCAATGATTTCAGTTTGAAGACTAGGATATGCCTGATTCAGGCCAAGGTCTTTTCAGTTACTTGCTAGGCATCTGAGAGCTGGACAGTGAATAAGGATGACAGAAGAAGAATTGATGCCTTGAGTTGTAGTGTTGGAGAAGAGTACTGTTGAATAAACCACAAACTGCCAATAGAACAAATAGATATGTCTTGGAGAAGGTGCAGCCAGTGTGCTCCTTAGAGGCAAAGATGGCAAAGTTTTGTCTCACATACATGTTGCCGGGAGAAGATATTCTTTAGAGGGGGACATGATGCTTAGAAAGGTGAGAGACAGTGAAAGAGAGGAAGACCCTTAGCCAGGTGTATTGACATGGTGACTGCTACAGTAAGCTCAGGTGTGTCAGAAAGGGTAAAGAGAGCACAGTATAGAACAGGATTCAGATCTGTTGTTCATAGGGTCACATCGAGTCCTACTCGATTTGATGGCACCCAACAATTGAGAGATGCACAAATGGCCAGTAAGCTCATGAAAAGGTGTCCTACAATAGCATGAAACCCTGCCCGGTTGTTTAGTCTTTCACTCTCCACTGCGCTTGAACCCAGAGCTACAGTCACCCTACTAATCCATCTTCTTGAGAGTCTTTCACCCCTTCACTGATCTGCTTTCCCAAAGCATGATGTCCTTCTCCAGGGATTGGCACATCCTGATACCATGCTCCAAATATGTGAGATGAAGTCACACCATCCTTGTCTGTAGGAATCGAGAAGCATCCCTGGCTCCACTTCTTCCAGACATACGAATGTATTCATTTTGTGTTTCATAGGATATTCAGTAATCTTCGCTTTACACGGCAATTTGAAAGCTTCAATTTTTTGGTCATTCCTATTCATTGTTCAACTTTCACATGTGTATGAAGCAATTGAAAAGTACGTTGGCTTAGGTCATTATAATAGTGACAGTAAAGCCAATTATGTTTTCATTAAAAATTCTGGTTTTCACTTGCTTCTGTTTGCCTGATTGTGTTAGGAATTTTCAACAGATTAGCTCATTGAATCCTTTGAAAGGCGAGTGTCTTTTTTTATCATTATTTTACAAATCTGGCAATTGAGGGGACTGAGAAATACACCCAAGTTAGCACAGTCATCGAGTTGTTGAAACAAGATCATAACCCTAGTCATCTGACTAAAATAACTTCTCAAACACCTAAGCTAAAGCTGCCTAAAACCTTCAGTGAAGGTTACAGAGAAATTGAGAGTATGTTCAAGATAATACAGCTTGCGTTGGAACTGAGTTAAAGTTTTAGAAAGAAAAATCATAGACATAAAAGAAAGGAAAATGGCCATGGCTAATAAGATGAACAACAAACTAAATGTCTTTTAAATTTACAATCTCCCAATTTCTTTTCAGATTATTTGAAAGATGCTTCAAAGAAAATGAAAAGTGGGCTTATGTTTGTAAAACTGGCTAACCCCTGTTCAGGTAAGCTCTTCTCCTTGCTTTCCTATCCTTCAGACTTCCGTCACTCCCCTTCCTCCAAAAATGAAAACGTGAATATTCTGGGCTGGTTTAAAAAAAAAATTTACCTGTTAAGATAAATGTGTATATTATTTGACTTTGTATCTTCAGTCTTCCAAAAGCTAGATTGATCCTATCTAGCTCGTAAAGTTAAAAAAGGAGGGAGGAAAATGTGCAACAATGAATGGATAATAATAATAAAACAATCCAATTCATCCACACTAATTGTGAAATGTAAAAAAAAGTTTAATAAAGCATTGCTTGTCTTCACAGATACTTCACTCAACCTAAACATTTATTTTATTATTTCTTATTATCATTTTTTAAATCCACAGAACTGTTCATTCATCTGAAATGTTGGCAGACCAGAAAAATAACAAGTTTGGTTTCTCTTTTAAAATAGATTGATTTTCTTTGGCTTTCTTAAATCAACTTTCCTCAAAATAGTTATCCAATATTAGCCTTCATTTATAGTCATTCTGGGTAGTAAAAATAAAATAAACAACCAAGATATTTTTGAAAGAAGATTTTGCCTTGACATGGCAAAATTTTAAATAGTTTCATTTTTAGCTGTATTTTTCTTTCATTCTGCCTAATAGAATGAAACAAGTCATTTTTTTTTCTTGTCCTACTTTTTGTTGTTATTCTTAAAAACATTACATAACTAGGGAGATGGTCAAGATAATACCACTAAAGAAAGAGAAGACATAATTACACAGAAATATAGTCACAGCAAGAATATAAGCAGACAAACATGAGGCCAACATGAGGTGAAGGTGATTTGGCTGATGAGTTCGCACTTACATTGTTGTGTACTGTTGAGTTGGAACTGACCCTTCCACAGGTTTTCAAAGGTAGTTAATTGCATGGGAGGAGATTGCCCAGTTTTCACCCTAAGAGCAGCTGGTGGATTTGAATTGTTTGCCCTTTTTTTTGCAGAGCAACTCTTTAGGGCATGCTATAAATACTCGCTGGTATATAGCAGGGCCAACAGAGGACAATGCTTTGTAAGCTTCTTAATTATAACTAGATTCCCTGAAGTAATGAGGTTTTATTCTGGGACCTTGGGACCATAGTCTTGGGGGACATCAAGTCAATTGGCATAACATAGTCCACAATGGCAATGTTCTACACCCTGCTTTGTTGAGTAGAGACAAAGATTTTAAAAACTTTTGAGTAGCTGTCTAAGATGCAGCTACTGGTCTCTTTTTGTCCAGAATAAAGAGGGCAGAAGAGAGAATGCAAAGATATGTTGAAATAATTAGTCCAAAGGACTAATAATGGTCCACACAAGACTAAACTTCCATGACCTGGAGACCAGAAGAACTAGATAGTGCCCAGCTACCCTTGCTGACCACTCTCAAAAAGATCATAGTAGAAGGTCCTGGGTAAAATGAGATAAAATGTGAGACAAAACTCAAAAACATAAAAAAGGCCAGGCTTATTGGTCCAATAGAGACAGTAGATTAAAGGACCAAGGCCAGAAAAAAATAAGGGGAGCTCTGGTGGCCTAGTGGCAAGAAGCTGCACTGCAATCCCAGAGGAGCATGGTTCGAATCCACCAGATGCTCTGCCGGGAAAGGAGGGACAATCTCCTCCTGTACCAGTCAGATCTGATTTGACGGTACACGCACACACACAAATAATAAAATATAAAAAAAAAATAGATAGATAGATAAATGAATGAATGAATGAATGAATGAATGAATAAATAAAACAAACAAACCCAAGGCCCGAGGTTACCTTTCAAATCTGAGACAAAACTCACCCCCATGGTTCAACTTTGAGCCAAACAATAAATAGGTCTATGAGATGACTACCACGAAGGAGGCACTCACGGCTCAGAGTAATCAACCACCTAAGATCTAAAGGACCACATTTGTGCAGAGGCAAGACCCAGAGGCAGGAAGGGCAATATAGAAAGAGTGTTGGAAATGAGAGTTACAGGGAGAAGGGGAGAAAAGTTCAGTTACATGGTGAGCATTGTAATTAATGTTACAAACCAAAATGTGTATGAATTATATATAGCTGAACTTTAATAAACTCATGTGAATCATAGTAAAACCACAACTTATTAGAGAGGAGGGAATAAAGGTTCTTGTTAATTGGGGGGGGGGGGGGGGGAGCAAACCAGCTCAACACTGTCATGTTCAAACACTTTCTGTAAGCCTCCAGAGCGCTTGTTGCTGGATATCTGTTTCAGTACCATTCTTTTCCCGTTCAACTGCTATTTGTTGAAAGGGTAGATTATCCACTGGTAGCAGCCAGGAAGGAAAGCAGCCCAGAAAATAGTATTTAATAGTTTATCTAAAGATAGCACTATGCCTCAGGTCAGTGTGCCCGAGTTTGATTCCATCTCTATCATGTGCTGACTCTGTACTCTTAGAAAGGTACATCACCTTCCTGTGCCTCTACTTCCACCTCTGTATCTCCCTTGAAGAAATATTTCTCACATTAACCTAGTCTGTGCACATAACTAGGTGTTCTGCATAGTACAGCTGACCAATTACATGTTATTTCATTTCAAGGAGAGGAACACTGGAGGAGTAGGATGTCCATTCATATATACATATATAGATATAGATGTTATTGTTGATTGCCTTTGAATCAATCACAACTCACAGCGACCCTATGAACAAAAAGCCTGAAGCTCCTTTACAACTCGCCACATTTATCAAAGTTCATAGAGTTTCCGGAGGCAAGTTGTTTAGGAAGAGGATGCTACTCCTGCTTCCAAACCTGTGTCCAGCCTAATAATGTGAATGGAGTAAAGCTTTCGCTCAATAAAGGACCTTCATTTGCTGATGGGGCAAGACTCAAAATGAAGAGAGGCAGGTGCAAATATCCATTCATAATTGAGACAATCCAGTGGTGAGAATCTTTGTCTTCTTGACATTGAGCCTCAATCCATATCAGAGGCAGCATCAGGATGGATGGTGAAGAGATTGAGATTGTTCACAGCTTTAGTTTGCTTGCCTCCACAGTCAACACTCTTGGCACCAGTAGCCAGGAAATTAAAAGTCGTATTGTGATGGGAAAGTCTGCTGTTAGGGACCTCTCCAAAGTATGGAAGAACAATGGTGACTCTCTGGAGAGTAAGGTGTGTCTGATACAGGCCATGGTTTTTGCTATCACTTGTTATGCATCTGAGAGTCGGACAGTGACTAAGGAGAATAGAAGGAGACTTGTTGCCTTTGAGCTGTGGTGCTGGAGAAGAGTATTGGGGGTACTATATACTGCTAGGAAAACAAACAGATTCATCCTGGAGAGGGTTAAACCAGTTGACTCCCTGGAAGCAAGGATTCTGGGGCTCTGTCTAACATACTTTGGACATGTTGTGAGGAGAGACCGGTCCTTGGAGAGGGACACCATGCTTGGGAGGGTGGAGGGACAGCGCAGGAGGGGAAGGCCCTCTGTGAGGTGGATTGATTCAGTGACTGGGATAATTGGGATGGGTGTATCGCAGACAGTGCGATTAGCGTAGGACAGAGCAGAGTTTAGGTCTGTTGTACATAGAGTCGCTATGAGTCACAAGCAACTCGACAGCACATAACAACAACATATATGAAGTATGGATGCAGGAAAACTGGAAGTTGTAAAAAAATGAAACAGAACACATAAAAATCAACATGCTTGGCATTAGTATATAGATCTTTAATAATAATACCAGAAGCTTGGGCCAGTTGGTTTTTCACTTACTCTTACTATTCAGTAACACAGTCACTAAGGATCCCTAGGAGCATAATGTGTTAAGTGTTGTGCTGCTAATGAGAAGGTGGGTAGTTCAAATCTACCAGCCTCTCTACAGAAGAAAATGAGCAATCTCATAAAAATTTAAAATCTCAGAGCCTTATGGAAGGATGAGTCAGACTCAATTTGATAGTAGTGTTTGTTAATTGAAATCACTGGGAGAAAACTGATTTGATAGGTATCAAGCGTCTACACAAATTGTATAAAATTAACAGAAATTTATATGGCACAGGATAGAACAGGGTTCAGGTCTCTGTTCATAGGGTCACTATGAGCCATACTCAACTTGACGGCACCTAACAACAACAGCATATGCCTACGCAAAGGTAAATGGTATCACCAATTCACTGCATCTTTATACTATATTTGAATATTTTTCCCTCAAAAAAAGACAACAAGATATAAATAAAATTATTTCCAGTAAAATATCCATCTCTTCTATATATAATATTTATTTTGAGGGTTTTTTCCATAATGCTGTGTTTTATTCTATTCATTGAATCACCTGAATAAATACCCAAAACCTAAAAAAAAATTTCATTACAAAGAAGGATGCAACATGCAGATATGAATACCCCACTTTCTCCCCACCTGACTACATTTTTCTTAAGAACAAAAAGGGGGCACTCTCTCTAGCTGGCCAGGTTTAGAAAAGGCTATAGCACTAGGGATATCATCACAACTGTCAAAAGGATTATGGTTGATATCTGAGAGCACCGGAAGAATGTCTATCTGCACCACAACAAGATGAAGGTAAATAATCCAATTGAAAAATGTGCACAGGATACGAACAGACACTTCACCAAAGAAGATTTTCAGATGGCCAACAAGCACATGAAGAAATGTTCAAAATCCCTAACTCTAAAAGAGATGCAAATCAAAACAACTATGAGATATCATCTCACCCCAGTAAGAATAGCAAAATTTAACA